CTGACCAGCGCTGACTACAGGAAGCCCAAGGCAGAGTTGCTCTGCCCCGGGCTTCCTGGAATCAGCCGCTGACCAGTTTCAGCAGCAGCTGACTTGGGGACACCTGAGGTTCTTAAGTTGAATCTGTATGTAAGAACTGGCATCCAGATTCAGCCTGTTGAACCTGATCAGCAGCTGATTCCAGGAAGCCCGGGGCAGAGCAGCTCTGCCTCAGGCTTCCTGTAGTCAGCCAGCTGGTCAGTTTCAACAGCGGCTGAATCTGGATGCCAGTTCCAACTTACATACAAATTCAACTTAAGAACAAACCTACAGTCCCGATCTTGTACGTAACCCGGGGACTGCCTGTATGCATATTTTGTATAACCCTTGTGATAGGGTTTTTTTTGGTTTGGGGAAAATATATTTGAGTACAAAAGGTAATTCAAAAGATGCTTAAGCTATTTCTAAGTAAAAAATACACTCGCAAACACCTGTCAATTAGAGGCAGAGGAAAAGCAATCAACTCTCCTACATGGGGTGGACCAGATAGGCAGGTTTCCCCAGCTTTGCCTTAGACAGAAGCAGGGACATAGAGGGTCCAGTTTAACGAAGTGTGGAATCCTCCAGTAAGTTACTGCCCATTATATGCATCAGAAGGTGCCACATCAAGTTTATGCAGCAGGGAACCACCTTTTATGCCAGGGATGGCCAACCCACGGCTCTTTGCTTAAAGAAATGTGGCTCATGGTAGTTCTGAGCTGCGCGCCTGGACTACTCACAGCCAGCCACTACTGTCTTTCTTTAAAGAAAATTCAAAGGCTATTGTTTGCCAGGCTGAAGCAATTATTCTGTGATGAGTCTCTTCCTTATTGTTTTTGAACCTCTCATATTTGCAGTCTGGGACAGAGCTGAATTGTTAGAACTATAAACAGGGCTCGACAAACGCACTCACCCACGGCGAGTAGATTTTTCCAGCTGGCAAACAACAAAAGGGGCAAACAACTCATGAGCTTACTCTGTAAATTTTAGGCAGAGTAAGACAGATTTCTGGTGTTCCAGTTCCACTGACTGTACATCTGTGTGCTTTGTCAAGTCCCTTTGACTGAGTCTTACCAGTGCTGAGTTGATAACAGTTATTTGTGTTGCTCTGCTGTGGGCTGAGAGCCCAAAACTGTGCTATCACTTCAGTTGACCTGAGAAAGAACCTCTGCAGGTCAGGGTAGTAGGGCATTCCAGGGGACAGAAAGGTGAGCTCAGTGGTATTTTCAGCACATCAAGTGACTAAAGGAAGGGGATCTCTAACCGCATACATCACATGCTCCTTTTGTAAAATGGAGATAACACTCCCAAGAGGGGGATCTATATTCATTAGTACTTCTACAGCATTTCTGAAATCCTTGAATGGCAAGCAGTATAGCAATTACAATATTAATTCAGACATCTGCAACTTTAGGCACATCCTACACCAATAATTTTGGCTGACATTGCAGAGATACATACAACAATACGTGCAATAATTAATGGATTTGTATGTACTTTTGCCAAAAACAACCTAAGAAGGGTTAGTATAATAGTTTAATAAACTTACTTTCCATAGTCCTCTAGTGCCTTCTTTTTGGTAAATGCGCATAAAATTGCCCATCATTCCTCCTTGAATCATACTGCCTTGGGCCTGCATTCTGATCTAACTTGGCCCAAAACAAAAAGCAGTTATCAGTTTTCAAACACTGAATTATAATTTTATCTAGTTTCTCAATATTACAAAGAGGTGCTATAAAATACAGTTCACAATATTTTCAGAATAGATTTTCTAATCGATATGAATATGACTATCACAGTAACACCAGCTATCTGTGGCTACATATCAGATGTCTCAAGTGCAGCTGCTATATTTGGAACAGCTGAATTAGAACTAGCACTCAGTGTAGCTCTTTAATTACCACAAACCATTGCTATTTTTGAATTGGTGCCCTAATATGTGGAATAGATTCACAGAAGACTTCTGTATGATGTCCCTTAGTGTTCTCCCTTGAACTCAGTTACATCTTAACACAGAGGGTCAATATGATGAGAGTTTCAGCTGAGAAGAATTAGGTACTTGACTTTTTGGATCTGAAATTTATATTTCAAGGACAAACTGCTAAATTCATGTTAAGTCTGACAAACAAATAAGTATTCATCCCTAATTTTGGGAGTTAATAATGTTGTCACCCAGCCCAGTTCTAAAGTGCCTAGATAGCATTCATACCATCACTCTGAAATGGAGCCTGTCACAAGTCCAAGGCAACCGCACTTGTATTCTCCCTCTATGGTCCAGCCAGGGCACCCCCTGTAGGCTTCCAGCTTCCCAACTGATGCCTCTTCTGCAGAGGCATGCATCTCCCTCCTTTTCTGACTGGAGTATTTACAAGCTGCTCAGACTCCTGACCATATGACTTTGCCAACAAAAAAGATGGCCTAAGCAGGCCTGATTCACTTCTTTCCTCTGAGATTGGCAATAACCACAGTGCTATTTCAAGCAAGCAGATTTGTTCTTCAGGAAAAAAGCATTAGAAAAAATATATGCAAAGCTCTGCAGAGGTGGGCTTCAAAGGGCTGATAACCAGAGGAATCATTTGCACCACCCTTCTTAAAAAGTTACACTAACTCTAAAAACAAAGAACTATAACATTTAACTTCATTCATTAAAATTTATCCTGGATATTGTTCTGTAACAATGTCTACTATCATTCCAGAAGGGAGCCAATAAAGTCTTACCTGTGTTGATACTTTCACTACCCCTTCTATGAAATAGGAAGTTGTAACAACTTATTTTCATTCTATTTTACTTGAGAGGAAGGAGGACTAAAATTAGGCACTATATAAAAAGCAATATTTTTTCTCTATTCTAAGGAAGCTTTATCATGTGCAAACGCAACCAAGTAATTTCAGGCCATGATCTTTTAAGTTTAATAGGATCAAGTGTTATCACTACTTAAACACTAGATACCCACAAATTTTAAAACTGTTGCCAAAACTGTGGTGCTGATGATTTCACACGGTGGCACTGCACCATGAAGGGGCATGATTTCAAAAGAGATTGTGCTACTTTCCCCCTTGACACCCATAAGAAACAGAATAGAGATCCTGACCCATATGATTTTTCATCAAGAACGTTCATTTTTCCAACCCATAGACTTCTGCATGTCGGTGATGGGTAAGTTGTCCTCTACATACTTCCGAATGAACAACACTAGAAGCAGTGTAGGTCAATTCCCACAGATTTTTTTTTTAAATTTAGAGTACAGCTTCAGCACACATCAAGTTTAGGATGGAGGAAGAGGAAGGAGGAGGGAAGAGCAACTTTAGCAGTTCATTGTGCTCTGAAGCAAAATAATTAAGTGATCAAGTAGTTCTCTTGCCGACCAAAGACACTAATTTTAATCAAATGACATGCTTTCAACTGACTAGCATGCTGGAGGGAATTTTCTACAATTCAGTTCTTCCCCTGGAACCTTTTGAATTATTGAGAAAGCAAGTAAATTTAAAACAGAACACAGCATGCAATGATCATCAGCAGCCTATTCTCATCTCAAGAATACAAAAAAACTATGTCAAAGAGAAACTTGATAAAAAATAATTTACCTTCAAAACATCTGTAGGGTTGGCAATAGATGATGAAATCACCCCGGAAAGAATGCCACATAATACATTTATCACCAAGGTTTCATCTATTCCAGAAGTAAAAACAAACTCTCAGCACAGGCTTATACACTGTGATAAGACACCAAGTACAAGTCAATGCTTTACCTTCTTTAATGAAAGGCAGTTAAAATAAGGATCTAAACCTCAGTTAACTTTTTAGTCAGCTCATTTTTTGTTGGAATTTAATTTGCAGAATCATTTTAAAGGAACAAAAGTAGCTGCATGCATACATTACACGAATACAATGTATGTATGAATCATATGACTGAAATGGAAACAATATACACAACTCTAGATGAAATATATTAGCAAGCAATGGTAACAAAGCTGAAACACTCACCTTCAGGTTGCTCAACAAACATTCTCTTCAAGCTTTGGTAAGTGCCTATTTTTATTGTTCCATATGATGCCTGGCGTAACATTGCAGGGGCAATCCTATAAAAATAGCAAGCAGCAAATAATAAATACATTCAATACTTCCTGAAATCTTGGTAACAGATATGGTTCATTCAACAATGTTTAGGATAGGCCAGGCTGAATTCAGGATGTGAACAAAAAGTGAAAGGTTTGTTCATTTAAACCAGATGATTTTAGAACCAGTTACAGTTAGGGGAAAAGAATTTCAGTGAAGATGATATTCAAGAATGAAAAAAAATGAAGGTGCAGTGGTGCCACCCACTCTTTACACGGTGGAGGAAAAACCCTGTCAATTCATACTAGTAAGGAGAGTAATAATTTTCTACTTGGCCGCTAGCTGAAAGTCTCTCTGAAAAAATGTTAACAGTAATTAAATTTCCTGTAATCTGATGTAGTACTTGGAAAGTATCTCCTGACATTAACCATGAGAGTTTAAAGAGTTAAAAATTACAATTGTGAAAGCCAAGTAGAGTTTTACTGTTATAGTTGATGCACTGCATGTGCAACAAGTTGACATGAGATCATTTTGCTACTACAAGTTTGCCACAGCTAACAAAACACACTCCTCCTTTATTTCTACGCTAGCTCTTACCTGTATTAATCGCCACTGTAGTAGATGCTAACTGCATATTGAGTCCCAATGGCACCACACAAATGAAGTTATTTTTGTGGAGGAAGCTGGGATTTAAATTTACTTTTGCTATCCCATTGTATGTGACTTACATTAATAATAGAGGGATTATCTTACAGTATTGCAGTAAAAATTCCTTTTCTGAATAACTTAGGTGAAAGTTACATGGTATTCTATTGCACTATTTGAATGTATTTTTCAAAAATAATATAAAATGGATGAAAATAGTTATAACAGTACATGTATGATTGCAAAGCAAATTAGGAAAACCTTTTTATTAGAGTAGGTAAGTTTTATTAAAAATAAGATGCTATTCAGACATAGCAACTACCATGATGTAAAAAAATTGTACTTTGAAATTATGCACTACATTCTAAAACACTCCTATTGCAATATTTTGTAAAATGTGGCTTGCCTCTCCCCATGATCTCTTTTGAGCCAACTAAAAAAAAAAAAATCTTATTTATAAAATACTATACTGTTGTATGTGAAAATTTTTTCATAAACTGTCCCAAAATTCACAAATGCAAACTGGTTACATAAAGTATATTTAATTTACCCAGAATACAGTGCTTTCAACCCTTCTTCTCTCCATATCCTCACTAGTGCATGCACCATTCCTCTGTAACGAATCTCTTTAAATTTGGCGTCATTAGTTTGACCTTGAACCTGGAGACGGGTTTTGGTCAGATCAATTGGGAAAGTACCTTAAAGCCAGGGAAGGAAAAAGATAATTAATTTAACATGAAACATTTGTCTATCCAAAGATAAGTTAAAAAAAGACCCAAAAGACAAATCAAAATGTCAATTAATTGCAGGCTAACAGAGTGGGTCAGTCATTTGCACTCTAAGAAAGAACCATAATAGACGGCTTTCGAGAGAGCTGTACAGTGGACAGGCAGTGCTTCAATCATAGTTAGAACAGGAAGTGCCAAACTACATAAGAAACTGAAGGCCTGGACCTGCAAATTCCTTGGTCATGTGACTGAAAATTGTAACTGATGACAATGAACAAGAAATTACTTATTAAAGTAAAGGCCTTCAGAATTGGACTCTAAATGGGTGCACCTTAAGAATAGATTCTCAAAGTTAATTTTCTGTGAGATCATACATTAATAGCAGTGTTCCTGTAAGCTGTGCGCTTGTGTGGCTGCTCAGGAGAAATTCCAATTCTACTCAGTTAATCAGCAAAGCACTCAGTTAGCTTTGTTTCTCTCCTGGTGGTGGACATTTTCACATGCCTCAATGCACAAAAAATGTGTTCTGCAAATGGATGGAAAAGATTACCAGGAACAGTGATCAATAAGTGTACTGTGTTACTTCAAAGTTGGTGAAAACAATGATTCAGGACATCAAGATTGTGTGCTAAATTATAGTAATCATAAGTGAGTTGAAAAGCTAACTTGATTGTTTTGCATCTGAAGCTGTACACCAGGGCAAAATTTTTGGGAATCAGAAACTGTATGGACACTTACTGACTACTAATCAAAAGAAAATTATTTCTTCCAAAAGAGGAATCGCTTTTGATAACATATTAAATTCTCTTTAGGCCTGAGAGAGAAATGCCTTCTTTACTTCTTCTATCCCCTATAATCACTATTTGAGTTTTAGCCTTTCATCAGATGACTACCATATCATAATACTGTATGGGACAACTATTAAATCAAAAATATTCTCATAAATGTAGATACAACACTTTAGTTCACCATTTACTTAACTGCTGTCATTTCTGTTTTCTGTACCTTTACCACCTATAAAAGTCTGTTCAAAGATAAAAAGAACCCGTCCTAAAATTCCAACAGACTAAATTGAAACTGCTTGTCATGCAAGACTTAGTACTAATCCTATGGCTCTATTTCCTATGTCACATTTCCAGATTTTTTTTCCCCCCCTCTCTCTCTCCCCCCTCCCTCCCTAAATGTAAAAAGCACTCAAGGATATATATCCTGGAGCAAACAATTCCTTTTTCTAATGTTAACTTGCCTTTTTAAAGAAAAGTATGTCTCAATATGAAAGAATATCATTGAGTATTATCAATTGTGTTAGTGACTATTTTTTTCTTTTACTCCAAAAATACATATTTTAGACAAAAAGCAATAGACCTTTAAAATGCAAGTCCTTCTGGAAGCACTTTTAAAGTTAGTAATCTGTTGCAGTAACTATTTTGTTTTTCATATTACATAAATTTGTGAGTTGCAAGTGAACCTCCTAATGTAAGATACATCATGCACACAGATTAACTGTTTACCACATTCTGCAGTGATTGATGCTAAGCCGCCATAAACAAATGGTTTCCAGTTCAGTGCAGCCATTCTTCTTACTGCAAGATGAAACAATGGCTTTTAATAGGTATTTGAATGATACACAATTTTAGCATTTTAGGAGAACTACACTGCCCAGTATACTGAATACGTTACTAATATTCCTCCCTCAAATGCATTTTTTTTTGCTACAGCAGCAAGAGATATCTAGACTATAATATGTTAAATAGTACAGTAAGTGATATAGCAAAATACTGTGTAACACAGGGGTCCCCAACCTTTTGGGGCTGCCGAGCAGGGGCAGGGCCACTCACTCACCCATGCCCAGTGCCAGCGCCACCCATGCACCGCACTCCTGGGGCCGGCGCCCTTCCTGTGCCCCATGCCCAGGGTTGGGGCTGCCCATACGTCACGCGTCTGGGGCTGGAACAGCCCATGCGCTGCATGCCCAGGAGCCGGCAGCGCTCATGCGCCACATGCCTGGGGCTGGCACCGCTCCTGTGCCGCGTGCCCAGAGCATGGACACCCATATGCTGCACACTCAGGGGCCGGCACCGCTCACACGCCTGGGAGCGGGGCCAGCCCCGATCACTCGGCGGGCGCACAGAAATGGCTCAGTGGGTGCCATGGCGCCCACAGGCACCACGTTGGGGACCACTGGTGTAACACATTAGAAAGTTTGGCATGCTTTTAATGTTCAGTTAAATAGTGGTTCTGAAAGTGCGATCCAGGGTTTATGGCTGCTTTACAAGTGGTCTATGGGTCGAACTCAGCCCCCCTGCAGTGGGGAGCCCGCACCCCTGCTCCAGCCTTGCGGCCGCCGTGTAACTGTAAAGCTGGAGCACTAGCTCTGGCGTCCCACTCGGAGGCAGGGGGTGCGCGTGAAGAAAGCGCCGACCTTCCTCATCAGATCTGGCTTGTGGAGAGAGACAGAGCAAGTGGCTCCACATGCTTACACTTTCTCCCCCTTCCCTCCACCCCCGCACTGGGGGATTGGCAGCCCAGCGGGGAGGGAGGTCATGCTTGGGAGCAACAGGAGTGTGAAGCCAAATAAGCACCCTACCCATGCCCAGATCCCCATACTCTAATCCCCCTCAAACACTCCACCAGGACTCCACAATCACAGTTTGCTCCTACATTCTCCCCCCAGTTAGACACTACCTCCACACTGCTCTCGCACCCTCCCCCACAGCCAGACACCCTACTGGGGAGGGAGGTCATGCTTGGGAGCAACAGGAGTGTGAAGCCAAATAAGCACCCTACCCATGCCCAGATCCCCATACTCTAATCCCCCTCAAACACTCCACCAGGACTCCACAATCACAGTTTGCTCCTACATTCTCCCCCCAGTTAGACACTACCTCCACACTGCTCTCGCACCCTCCCCCACAGCCAGACACCCTACTCCCAGCCTGCTTCTGCACCCTACCTCTCACCCAGACCTCACCCCCTCCTGCTTCCCACCTCCCACCTAGATCCTGCACTCCCATCCCTCCCTCACTTGCTGGCAGCCCTGTCCTGCACACTGAACCCCTCATTTTCATCTGCACCCCAGTGCCTAAGGAGGTCCACAAAATCCCCAGAAAAATAAATGTGGCCTATGGCTCTGGGAAGCCCTTCCCCTCAGTCCTCTGTCCCTTCCCCTCATCCCATGGGCTGGAACACCAGGGGAATGAGGTGTCTATGTTGGAGACCACATCAGTGAAGGTTGGAGTTTTTTGGAGAAGGTTTTTTGCTTCTCACTTGTGTGATCCCCAACTGATTTTTCATGTGGGCCAGTGGTTCGCCTTCCCTGCCATAAATAAAGAAAACATGGAAACCTTTTGCATTGGACATAAATTAGTATTTTACTTTACTTAAAATGAAGTAAACATGAGAAAGTTAAAACACTTAATCTGTTTATTTCAATTAAACCATTCTCCCTAGCCAAAGCACTAGCAAAAAGTGGGCATAACTATGTAATTAATGGTTTGATTGTAAAACACTAGAACAAATACCTACCAAGGACAATTTTTGCACACAACACAATATTACTGCTGATTGAATATTCAGATAAAAAGTGCCTCGCCCAGCCATGAGTCTATAAAATAGACTTCACAGCCAGTACGATTTTTTTCCATCATTACTAAAATTTTGGGTCCTTTCTTTAGCAACAAAAAGCTGACACTACAATCATAGAATCATAGAGCTGGAAGACAACTCAGGAGGTCATCAAGTCCAGCCCCCTGCCCAAGGCAGCACCAATCCCAGCTAAATCAACCTAGCCAGGGCTTTGTTAAGCAGAGACTTAAAAACCTTTAGGGATGGAAATTCCACCACCCCCCTAGGTAAACCATTCCACTGCTTCACCACCCTCCTAGTGAAATAGTTTTTGCTAATATCCAACCTAGACCTCTCCCACAGCAACTTGAGACCATTGTTCCTTGTTCTGCCATCCCTCACGTGAACAGCCTCTCTCTATACTCTTTGAAACCTCCCTTCAGGAAGTAGAAGGCTGCTATCAAATCCCTCCTCACTTCTGTCTTCCATAAACTAAATAAGTCCAAATCGCTCATCCTCTCCTTGTAGGTCATGTGCTCCAGCTCCCTAATCATTTTGGTTGCTCTCCACTGGACCCTCTCCAATGCGTCCACATCCTTTCGATAGTGGGGGCCCCAGAACTGGACCCAATACTCCAGATGTGGCCTCACCAGAGCCCAATAAAGGGGAATAATCACTTCTCTGGATCTGCTGGCAATGCTCCTCCTAAGGCACCTTAATATGCCATTAGCCTTCTTGGCTACAAGGGCACGCTGTTGACTCATATCCAGCTTCTCATGCACTGTAATCCCCAGGTCCTTTCCTACTGAAGGTTAGCATTGGCTCTCTCCCATATGTGCATTTCAGTTCCACTGAACGTCCTTGTTCTTTCATTATGAGAAATGTGAGGTATAATACATGTCTATCCTCTCTAGAGACAGCATGCGTTTTTATAATCTGACAGTGAGAGCAGCAGACAACCACCAATGTTAGTATTGTCTATTTGTGCCGAAACAAATAAAAAAAATGAAGCCTTCTTAATCTGGGGCTTTAAGTTCCGAAGCGCACAGAATGTAGAAGTCCAAAAGAAGTTAATGGAAGCAGCAATCAGCAAGCCTAAGGGTAGCCCTCTAACAACTCAGTTTCCCTCTTATCACTTTATGCAGGCGTTATTTGTGACACGCGCTTTGCAACAGTCTTGAAGCAAGGGAAAAGCCACTAGACACAGACTTCAAATAGTGTACCCAACGACCAAACCTCTATGGCAACACTTGGCCTCCGCCGTCTCGCTGCAGGTTTGAACAGGCCGCTGACAGCACATGGTACTAATTTCCCCACAGAAAACACGTGGTAGCACATTAATCCGGGTGCGTGCCCTGCATGTGTTATCTGTGCTAGCCGAGGCTACGGAGCAGCAGCTGTGCAGCCGGGCGCCGCAGGCACGTTCATGCGGGACAGTTTCCACCCAAGTAAGCGGAACTGAAGTTTTGGCGGGGGGAGGGGAGGCAGCACCGGGGAAGTCGGTCACGCTGCTTCCGACGCCGACGCATAATCCCGGCTGCTGCGCGGCGCCAGCCCTCACCAGGCAGCCGGGCTCGGCGCCGCACGTCAGGCCGGCGGGGGGCGCGCACCG